ATTACATGCAATTAAAAATGAGGTTTAATTTGGCATCTGATGCCAGCATGGAGGCTTTTTTATCTTTTTGCAGTGAATGTTAGTTGAGAGAATCAAGGACTGCTTCTGGATTTATCTTAGTCCAAATCAAATGGATGTTTACAGTAACATAAGTCTTCAGCTTACATTATTTGTGCTGTTAAATCTTTTAACAGAATTTTCCTGCTAGATCAGCTTTTTTTTTTCTTTAATAACTGATGCTACAACACAAACTGCATACATATGGGGAAATTATTAATATCACCTCAGGTGATGTTAGTAAGTCAAAACCGACCATGACATTTTTTTATTAATATTTCAGCACTGTTTCCACTACAGTGAATTTTAGTATTTGCACTTAAAGTTTGTACCTTCACAGTGTGTTCTGGAGTAAATGAGCTGTAGTGTTTGGACAGGCCTGGAGGGCAGACACAGCTAACACAGGCAGGGTGGGAACCAGCAGGCAAACTTTTTGTCCCAGGAGTGAAATCTTTTTTCACCTGTTATCATTGCGCCATATTAGGGTCATTGGAGGTAGAAACAAGAAAAAGGAGGAGTGCATTTCTGGCAAAAAAAAAAACAACTGAAATTTTGAGATTAATCTCAGAAATTTTCTAGAACCCAAAATTTTTTTTAACTTTCTGAGTTTGAAAAGTTGAAAAATTGTTAGAAAAATCAGTAGTTTTAAAATTAATCCAACAAATTTTCTAAACAAATGAGGAAATTTTAGCTTGAAAAGTTGTACATTTTCTAGAAAAATCAGAAGTTTTGAAATTCCATCCATTTTCTTTACACCCTTGTCCCTTAGTGGGGTCAGGAGGTTTTGCTGGTGCCGATCTCCAGCTAACATTCCAGGTGAGAGGCGGGGACATCTTGGACAGGTCACCAGTCTGTTGCAGGGCAACACAGAGACAAACAGGACAAACAACCATGCACACACACCTAGGGACAATTTAGAGAGATCAATTAACCTAATGGTCATGTTTTTGGACTGTGGGAGGAAGCCAGAGAACCTTGAGAGAACCCATGCATGTACAGGGAGAACAGGCAAACTCCATGCAGACAGACTCAGGCCAGGAATCGAACCCAGAACCTTCTTGCTGCAAGGCAACAGGTCTACCAACTGCTCCACTGTGCAGCCAAGTTTTGAAATTCATCCCAGAAATTTCCTAGATAAAAAAAAAAACACAACTTGGAAAATTTCAGAGTTTAAAAATCCAAATTCACTGGAAAAAACTCCAAAAGTCAAAAGTTTTTCATTTTATTTTGTTATTATTATTTTAATTTCGACTAATTCACCCCTACTCATAAACTCTTAAACATCTGGAAACATAAATTGAAGAGCTATAGGCTGTGTTGAAGAGTTTTTAATAGTTAATAAAACACCTTTAATCTTAGATTGTACCAATAATGTGCATATAATAAAAAAAAAGACTACAACCAGCAGTTTACCCTTCTATAACAACCCACCCTTACAAATCTTTGATGCTGCTGAACAGGAACGTTTTATCTTTATTAATATCCAAAATAAGGTATATTTATCAGAACTATTAAACTTAAATTGTTGCTTACATAACTTTAACACTTAAAAAGTATTACAGATGTTTAAAAATATGTTTCCAGTTAATCAAATTAAAATCTTTTGAGCTCAACAATTTTTCAGAATCACAGTCAAAACCACTCTGACACCCCATCAGTGAATCCTGCAGTATGAATACATACCTTCATACTCCCAGACAAGAGTAGAAATTTACATCTATAAAATTCATAGTTTAAAGACTGGGCATCTACATAAATAGGCAGATACAAATGGCCTTTCCTAAATTTCCAGTGACAAGGAGCTCCTACAAAAATAAAACTGTTTATCTGGCTTAGAAATCTATATTCAGTGTTAAAATGGTCATTATATGTTGTCTGGAGACAGGTCAGACAAAATAATAAAAATAATATTCTGTATGTGTACATGACGTGTGTACACATGAGCCAAGTTCTTATTATCACAACAATTGCTCCAAATGGGTCAGTTATGGCTGAGGGTAGTGTTATGAAATTCATTACATCAGTCTGAAGATCATGGCTGCACACAACCCAGCAATAAACTCAGACGAATGTTCATTTAAATGCTCCACATGCAATATGGACAACCCTGACCACCCTGACCATTTTCAACTAATATATAGGTAATCCCATAATAATGCAAGTTTGCCCTCTCAAAGACTAATAAACATAAACAAAGACAAAATACTTCACACTGGAACTGGAAGACATCTTAAATATCCAAAATAAAACCTGACAACCAAAAACAATAAATAAAGAGCAAATAAAAGCCAAAACACAAACAAAATCATCACTAAAATGGATTATGAAATCCCTGTAAACAAAATTGCCCTTCAAAAAATATTAATCATCAGAATGGAAATGATCAAGCTCATTTTAACTGATCATGCGATCAATTGATTGTTTACTGCGACAGGCTTAGTTGTTAGTATAATAAAATCACTTTATCCCTACAAATTCATCAGTTCTAATTAAAAATACAAGACCAGTAATAAAATACTGAATCTTTTGATTGGGTCTGGGGTACGATGTGGTGAGGATGTGGATCATTCAGACTGCAGACTGTCTTTCAGTTCCTGCAGGATGTCAGTGGCGCTGCTCCATGGAATGACTTTAGCTGAAACAGAACAGTTGCCTTCCTGATCTCTTAGTCGGGTCAGCCTCTTATCCAGGGTGTAGCCCTGCCTGGGCATCACAACGTCACCCGCACTCAGACAGAACGTGGGGCAGAGGTCGTTCCCACCGTCCCCCACGTAAATCACTCGCCCGTACACCTCGCCGCCGTCTGCCTTCTCGGAAAGGTACGTCTCCAGGACTTTCTTCTTGCACATGTTGACGGGGCACTTGGCGCACTCGTGCAAGTGGTGGTGCTGCAGCTCCATGTAGCCGGACTCATTGATGCTGGCCGGGTTGGAATACACCTGGTCCACAGCTTTCCAGAGTCCCGCCCCCTGGAGGACCCATTCGATGAACATGGTGTTGGCATCGGAGACGATGATGCAGTCCACCATGCTTTTATTCTCTGATATGAATGTGAGCAGCTCCGGCATGCCAGGTGTGAAGGGAATGGTCTCCATGACGCTGCGGACCCTGTCGGGGGTGACCCCCTGGTCTCCTGTTAGAACCAAAGACAGAAATGATCAGAATGGAAAACTGGGGCGCAGATTAGATAAAAACTCTGTCAATTTTTATGTAATCTGAGTTACAGAAAGAGAGCTAAGGCCAAGGCTGAATTCCATTACCTAGGGTATTGCTAGCCCTCTGCATATTCTTTGGCCCTTAAAACTAAAGTATGTAACTTTTATAAAAAATTTTCTTTGTTTGTTAAAACTGTCACTGTGTCATAACAGTTTGTTATGAGACAGGTAATCTGTGAAAAGATCAATCTCCTCCACGTCCCAAATGAGCTGCTGTCTGAAGAAATGCATGGCTCCCAACCAAAAACAACCAATCAGAGCCAGAAGGAGGGTATTATTGCTGTTAATCATCCTTGTGAACATGCCCCGAAATGTGCAACTTACCATTTCAGGAAGACGATTTATCTGCCATGCTAACTAGCCTCAGCATTCACCACAGGCTCTGCTGACGGGGAAAAGTGGTAGCTGTAGCACAAACATGGGCAAGATTGACAGTGCCAACATCCTCCTTCTGGCTCTGATTGGTTGTATATCTAAACTGTTATGGAACCAGAAACTTTTGCTAGGGGTGAGTTAACTTTCAAGTTAAAGTAGAGTTCATGGATAGACTCAGAGTTTGTTGAACCACCTCTGTGGAGGACTCACTGAGCACAATGGAGGACAAACTGAAACATAAGAAAAACTATGTAATAGGTTATAACTTATGTAGGCCATCACTCTGCCCATGTACTCAGTCCACTGGCCCCTCCTGTATGTGCTCTCCACAGAATCTGGGAGAGTCTGCTTCGGAAGACACCTTAAAGCAGGAAAAATAAAGATCACCAGTTAATAAACTGACACAATGCTTATAAAACACCCAGTTTCTTTGTACCCTCTGACATATATAAAAAACTTTTAATACATACTTGATGACCCAGATGTCACAGTTCTCGTCCACCACAGTGTGGTCAAAATCAAACACCATCAGAATCTTCATTTTTTGCCACACTTTCAAACAGCCTGCCTCGGAAAAGGAGAATTCATCAACTTCAAGAACATGTACGTTATTACTGGGCCACGTTTGTCTTTCCAAATCAAATCAATATTGAGTGACTCGATAAAACACACGCAGTTAAACATAGAATATTTCAGGCCGATCGGAAAACCACGTTAAACTAATCATTTTTTCATTTTTTGTATGTTGTATTAGTGCGTGAAAGCTCCGTTTGAGTGTTCTGTTTTTAAAATGACTAGGTATTTACCGGACGTCTGGTGAAACCTTGTTTTCTTGCAAGTACACCTGGTAAATTCCCGTGTCCGCACTTTCACTTGATTTTAGCAGACCCAACGAGGATTATACAAACTTCTCTACGCTGTATTTTGGCTCAATTTACACAAACTTCAACTTAAACAAGTGAAACGAGAACGAAACTAACCCGTATTCTTCCTGTCATCAAGCAGTCGGTTCTACATTCAACTGGCTCGCGCTGTGCGGACGTCTACCTGTTTTCTGCTAATTACCGCCCCCTTCTGGCTGTTTCTTCAGAATGTCACGTTATTATATATATATATATTTTTCTTATATTCTTATATTTTTTTACAAAGGTAAATTAACCTTTTGATTTCTTTTAACTGTGCTTTATGCTTGTTGTAAAGTTCACAGAAAATTATTATCATTGATATTATGATTATTTCATTATTATTCAATAACAAAAAATAATGATAATGAAAATCATTAAAAGGGTTCAATAAACGTATTACAGCCTTGTGGCCACTGAGTGGCAGCATCGAGCGAGCACCGCAAAAAGAACGTAAAGACGAAGAAGCTTCTAGTTCCTGGTTGCATTAAAAAACATTTTTACACGGTGTGAGTTCGCAGCCAGTTTCCGTCTGTCATTTTCTTTTTATCAGTTCGTTTTCTCCCTCGGACCAGTATGTTCAAAGGGTTCGGGACGTGGCTGGGTCTGGAGAAGACGTCAGAGGAGAAGGAAAGCCTCAGTGTGGAGCAGGAAGAGAAGGTGGTTGAAGCCCAAAACGAGGTAAACAAACAGCAAGCAGCTGAGCAGGATGATGAGGCATCGGAGACGAAAGAAGAAACCCCAGATCACAGCAAAGGACTCGGTGGTGAGGGGCAGATGTTTCTATTTTCTTCTGAATGATCATAGCTAGATGCGGTCAGAGGTTTGATCCACTCCTAATGGTCATGAAAGATGGATGTTTTGTTTATTTTGAGCTCTAAGTATTTGTTTGATCTATTTTCGCAAGGTGGAACGATTAACGTGCAGTTTCAACCGTTTTAGTCCCTCACATTTTAATCTCTTGAGGATTTTCTCAAATTAAAACATATCTTGGGTAAATTGTAGTTTTATAAAAACTGTAAAAGTCCTTTGGATTTATTCTTAAGAAGAACTGCCAAGTCCAGGGTGATCCATTAACCAGTACCAGGTAAACAATTCTTCAAAATCATTCTGCCATGATCTGATAGAAAGACCTGTAGGATCAAAGGAATTTGTTTAAGCTGCTTTTGAACAACTAACCATAAACTGGAAACTGGTGGATCACCAGTGTTACTGGGACAGGTAAACCAGTTTGAAGACAGCTGCATGAGCAAACAAAGACTAAAAGCTATAGCCTCACCTTTCAGTTGATTGTATATATGCCAGCTTTTTGGAGCTAAAATATTATCTTCAATTTGTAAAACTGTTATTTTTAAAAAAGGAAATATGCTATTGATTATCACTTATTTATCTTTTGAGTTTGGGGGCCTTTTTCTACCAGTCATAGATGAGTTGAAACGGGCTAACAAACTGGAACAGTATTCTTGTGGAAACGGTCAGGGAATGGAATGAAGGAGAGTTAAAAGCCATGGAGTGCCAAAGCATAAAAATAATTATTCCAATCAAACTTATTTAAAGGAACAGTGCAGGAGAAAGGGAAGGATAGTGACAGGGAGATATAGGAGCCTCTGGGTAAAAACCACGAGTGGAATGGTCATACAGCCAAAAGATCACAGTAACACAGAAACAAAACGTTAAAACTTAATATTAACAACCTGTGTTACCCATAAAGAGTGGATGTAAACTTCTGAGTGTTTTGGAAAAACCGTGTCAGTCTCCCACACCTTGTGTAACCCTTCTGTTCTCTGTTCTGCTTCCACCAATTGAAGAGTTCATCTTCAGTTTCGCCTCCAGTGCCACCAAGAAGTTGTCAGAGTCTGTAGTGGGGACTGCTCAGACCATCAAGAAGACGGTGGAAGAAGGAAAGATCGATGGCATCATAGATAAGGCACTTTGGTCTTCTGGCTTAAGGGACTTTTAGGAAACGTTTCTTCACAGATGGTTGAATTTGTTTTTTTTTAAGGGCGGTGTTTGACTTACCATTTGTTCTCTTAAGACAGTTAATTGGTCTTCTGTTGATTGTATTGTAAACTTGTTTGTGTGTGTGTTTTTTTGCAGACTATTCTGGGAGATTTCCATAAGGAGCAAGAGAAGTTTGTCCAAGAGAAGAAGGCCAAAAAGTCAGGTGAGAGAAAGACCTCTGCGTTTATGGCAGCAAACCTAAGGCGAAGCCCTGCAGACACATGCAGTGCACTGGAAATCTATTCCATCTTCTGCAATGTATTTGATTTTATTATAAGGGGCAACATAAAGTTTAAGGTTTTTTAAAATGGGGGAAAAAAATAACACACAGGGATTTCAAGATGTTCTACTAATACAAATCTGAAGAGTGCGGTGTGCCCCTACCTGCTGGGCTGTGTGGAAACATCAACAATTGTTCTCAGATATCTCATCAGTCATTTTTTTAAATTTTGCTCCAAAATTAATCTGTTGGTAAAATGTTTAGTTTTAGAAACATAATATAGAAATCACAATGTATTGAGATAGCAGAGATGTTGCCTTATCTGAATGGCCGGTGTCACTTGGTATTATACTGATAATAGTGCGACTGACTGACTGTCTCTGTTGGCTAATGTTTGTGTAGAAGCAGCAGTGCCTCCCTGGGTGGGCTACAATGAGGAGGAGACCATCCAGCAGCAGATCCTGGCTCTGTCTGCTGTAAGCAAATTCTACTCTGTGTGCAAAAAAAAGTACTGTCATTAGTGTTATTTGTATTTAGCATACAGTGTACCAATGTTATTATATCTGTTGATTTTAATCCTACCGGAGTAGCAAACAAAAAAAAAAATAATACTTGGACTTTGAAATGCAGAGTGTGCTATCTAATTGTAACTATTCTAAACTTACATCAGCTGATAAACACTAAATTTGCAGTGTTTAAATATTAAACAAGTTAACAAGTTTGGTAAACTTGTTAACTAAAGTTAACAAGTAAGTAAAGTTAACAAGTGTAGCATTGTACACCACTTGCAAACAAACGTGTCGGGATGCTTAATACTTAATGCCGTGCAACATGGTGGGTCTATCAGTCCATTACGCAGTGACCTTTGACCTATGGGTCGTCTGGTTCCAGGACAAGCGGAACTTCCTGCGGGACCCTCCGGCTGGTGTCCAGTTCCACTTCGACATGGAGCACATGTACCCTCTGGCGGCCGTCATGCTGGAGGAGGACCAGCTTCTCAACCGCATGCGCTTCGACCTAGTTCCAAAACAGTAAGGGCTCCTTCAGTTCCTGTACGAAAACTCAAACCTACAAGAACCAATCGGGTGCAGGCCACTCTGTCTCATCTTCTTTCGGCTGCTGATTTTGGACCTTTCCCTTTAACCTGCTATGGAAAGGACAGAAGTCACAAACTGGTCAATCAGGTCAAAATAGTTAAAGTTCCATGACGTAATTATGATCTTTTGTGTACATTGCCATTGGTTGGTAGGGAAGCCCATTTGTTTCTCTGATGTAAGAAGAAGATGAAGAGGCACAGTTGGAATCAAGATACATCTGAAAATAGTTTGATATTAAAGTAGTTTATCTTTTTTAAATAGTTTAGTTTTACTTTGAAGTGTTGCAATACATTACATTTGATTTGACTGGTAGTGACAATCATCTCATGGGTTATGACTACCAATCCAGTCAAAACAATCACTTTCCTGACATTATTCATTAAAACATAGTGTTGTCAATGTCTCCAACCAAAACTACAAAGATACAAAATGGCGGAGAGGCTGAAAAGGCCAGAATATCTTTACACCTTATCCCCAGCAGACCCGCAGGCGTCACTTCTTCATGTCATGCCCCAATTGTCTTGGAACTACTAATGATTTGCTCCTTGATTGTCACAATATGTGAAGATGTGCAAATACTGTCACGGGTTTGCGTTCTTACAGGGTGAAGGAGGACGTGTTTTGGAGGAATTACTTCTACAGGGTGTCTCTGATCAAGCAGTCGGCGCAGCTCACAGCGCTGGCTGCTCACCAGCAGCAGCAGCAGCAGCAGCAGCAGAAGGACGGCGGGGAGGGCGGGGACAGTGTTTCACCTGACGACATTGTCTTAAAAGGTCCTGTTTTAGTTTCCTTTCTATATTTTTCGTGACTATTAAAAATTTGCCGAAAAATTTGCCAAATCAGCCACAGAGTTACAAGGCGGTCTGGAAAATTCTAAAAAAAAAAAAAAAGTATTTTCCAGGTCTGGATTAGTGTGGAAAATCTGGAAAAATGTTCCCAAACTTGTCTTTCTATAGATTCCTCTAGTTTGTGGGTTTTGCAAGTTGCGTATCACCAACCTGATCACTGCTGAAACATCTGGCATGAATTCATCTTAAAGTTTAGTTTTTATATTTCAAATAATAATAATAAAGCACAATGTATTTATTTGTAGTCATCACAGAATCCATGTGTGCAGTTTTGCAATTGCTTGAAGCTCCTTATATGCAATATTTGGTTGAATTTTATGTTTCAGGTGCCATACATTGAAATTCTTTATAAAAATGTGGGCTAAGATCATATCATGACACTGGGTTACAAAAAATATTTTTTGGAAGTTGTCTATGTTTTTCCAACTGAATTAGGATTATTTTGCACAGCTGAATCCAAAAATGACATCCATTTTTCTCAATCAGGTCATGTTTTTATTCTAATTTGATTTAGAGAAATCAAATCTTCTGACTAAATTGATGACATTTTGTGGCATTATTAGTTAATTTGCTCATAAAAGTTTTTAGGAGAAAAACACTGTTTTCTAACAGAGTATACTGTTACAAACTTGAAGATTTCTGTAAATTGAATAATAAACACTGATAAGGTAAGTACATGTGAATTGAACATTACGTCTTCATTGTGTAAAATCCTCCGTCTCTTTCCTGTCCTGATGGAATCTCTCCTCCTGCTCTTCACTCATTGATCAGATTCTCAGGAAATTGATCCAGATGTGAGAACAAGTCCTGCATTTTGATGCTCATGTTGCTCCATAGTTCAGAGAGTTGCCCTGATTGAGCAAAACCAATGTGACTTTTGGATTCAGCACATCAAAATGACCCTAAAACAGTTAAAAACTGCAGACAATTTCTTGGCTGTTGACCAGTGTTGTCATAATCATCAAAATTAGATTTATTTTTGATATTGATCAGCTCTAGTTTATATTTTAATTATACTTAAAATATTGGAAACCACTGGACTGAGAGCCTTTTGAATATTAATGTAGATAAGTTTTGTGAGAAAATAAATCTGTCTCTTGTTAAAATGGTTTTGAATCCTTGTGGCATTAGAAGAAGCATTTTAAAATATTGCTAAACTTGCCTATTAACAACAGTCTACAGCAGCCCTGCTCCCTAACCCACATAGGCAGATGACTTTAAAGTTCATGAACTGGAAAGTTAAACATAATATTGGTTCTTTGCAGATGTTAGACCAAAAACTCCACCAGTTTCCATCAGCAACATACAGAAGGTAAAAACATGACCCTGAATAATGTTTTTTTTTTTTGTTTGTTTTTTTTTTAATATCGTGTTTAAAAAAGAGGAAAACCAGTCATTTCACTTTAACCTGCCTGCATACGCAAACCTCAGGCACCCCACGAGGAGGAAGAAGAGATTTCAACAAGTCCTGGAGTCTCGGAGTTCGTGAGCGATGCTTTCGACTCGACGGCGATCAACCATGAAGACCTGAGGAAAGAGATGGAGCAGCTGGTGCTGGACAAGAAGGACAGTGTCCCGTCTCCAGACGGTCAGCCTCCTCAGCGCTCCTTTGCTGTCGATTTTTTTTTTTTTTTTTTTTTTTTTTTTCATGCTGAATGAAACCAGTTTTGCTGTAAATCCCAAACTGTTCTGATCATTGCTTCCCATCCAGATGAGGCAGCAGACTGGGAAAAAGAGCTGCAGCAAGAACTCCAGGAGTACGAGGTGGTGACGGAGTCAGACAACAAGGACGACCAGTGGGACCAGGAGATCGAGAAGATGCTCCAGTCCGAGGACAGCTAGGGAACAACGGCGCATAAAACCGCGGCTCCGAATCAACCACCAGTGATGCACGAGGGCCAACTCGCCCAAACCCCTTTTTCCTTACGCAGTAAAGTTGATCCAGCAGTAGCAAAAGTGCATCAGTTGGAGGCAGGGCGGGTATATTAATGAAGTAGTACCTTCTTAATTAGTTTGATCTTCTCCTTTTCCTCCAGCCTCTGTCTTTTGACTTGCGCGTCCTCTAGAGGGAGCTCTGGGACAACTTACACCAGTTTTGCACAATAGGTGGTGTTCCCTTCTTGATTGGACAACTATGTGTTGCATAGTAAGGAAGGTTAAATGTAAAATTAAGCGGCATGTAAATAAAGACAGCTGAAACACTATTTGAAGTTAGATTTCCTTCATTATAAAATATTTTATCTCTTCTTACTTTGTGCACAATGTTTCTCTATAGCTGGAAAACTGTACTTTTACTGTGATTTTCTTACTTTCTTTGGATTCTTTAATAAATGATAATGTTATTTGAGACCAGACTGCGTCACATCTATGGTGGAGAAATTATGGATTGAATAATGTTGGAAGTAGATTTAAGCTATAGTGTCACTGCATCATGAACACAACAAAAAGTTTTGCCACCATTGCAAAATGTTTTTAACCGACTTGACATGAAGCTGTCTTTAATTGCGAAGTGGAAAACAGTACATGACTTTCAAACATTTTCTATAAATAAGATCGAATATTGTGGCTTTTGTTTTTTCGGCTGCAGTGACTCGACATTTTGTAAAAGCTCCTTGTGCAGTTACCACTGCTAAATGTTTCAGATTATGTCCACATGTACAGACTGAACTGCAGTGATGGGCACTCTTCCACTAATCTACTGATAGTGGAGCTAATATTTTTGTGTGGCTGTTTAGTGATTGTGCTAACTTGGAAGATATTTAGTGCTCTTTGCTTCGCCTAAATTTTTTTTTCTAGATAAATTCTGAAGCGCTGATTTACTTGGCCAATTTGTAAACTTTCAGTTGAATAAAGTTTGACATTTGTGATGAAGGTTTGGTCATCAACTATTAACTACATCCTTACACGAGCAGTCAGACGTTTATATTCATGCTCTTATTTTGAAGTGAGTTAAGAGTGGTTAAGCAGTAGTAATGCTTCTTCTCTCTATTTCCCAATCACTATTTCAATCAAGAAGTAAGTTCTATGTACATAATGGCAAACAGAAGAAAATCTGTGAAAATCATTGATTGATTCTTACTTTCTTTTCTTTTTTTACTGAAATGAACCAGTTAAAACAATTGTTTCTTGTACCAGGCTTTAACGAGTTAAGCCACTGGTCTAGAACCAGTAGTTGTAGTTTTCCCACAGCATCCTGTTTGACCACAAGTCTGAGCGTGTTCACCTCCCCGCATTCCCATCCTACACTTCGCCCAAATCGACAACTCAGGGATGGAAGAGAAGAAAGTCTAAGTGAGCGAGGGAGTGAGTCAGCCAGTGTGGAATGACAGACCGCTTGTTTTTGTTGTAGAAAGTCTGTAATCCCATTAAATGAGACAGACGCACGGCTCTGCTTGTTCCTACCATGCCTCAGCATGTTCCCTACATTCTACACGAGATGTCTGGAAACAGACACAAACATGTCTGCAGGGTCTAAGCCTCTCTTTTCTGTACAAAAAATAAAGACACTAGATAGGGAAAAAGAAACAATCAATATAAAGATCAATACACAGTGTATGTGAGCCATTGTTTCTTCTTCCCTGCTGGGTTTAACCAGGATCAGATGCAGGTAGCTTAATGAATAGACATCTGAATGGGGGTTGGGTTGGGTTGGGGGATTCCCTCTTTGTTTTGGTCCTCATTCTTATCCTGGCACAGTCTCCTGCTTCAGCATCACAGCCGGAGCCCACCAGCTGCTTTCATGCAGAACAAGCACTGGTCACCATGGTGACAAAGCCCAGCAGAAGAGGACCCATGTGTGTGCTTTTATTGCCTGTGCGTGATGTCGTTTTAACAGGGTTTTAATAATGCATAGAGGTAGACCTGAGTGTGTGTGGGTGTGGGTGTGTGTCTGTGTCTGTCTGTCTGTCTGTGTGTGTATGTGTGTGTCATAGCCTATTTCTGTGTCTACATTCCAAGAAATGATGGCTGATGAGCAGCGTTTGTAGTAGTGGAAATAAGTGAAGGCGTCAAGGTTTTTCTCAGTAGACATGATTATTTATATGAAATTTATACTTCGCATTGGTAACAACCCAAGTAAGCCAAACAAATAAATTGGAATTTAGTCCATAATTTATGTGTAAAAAGGTGGAAGGATAAAAGAAGTAGGTGCTAAAAAGAATAGCTAAAATAAGTTGAAATTGCTCAGTATATAGAAAGCAGTCCTGCCTTCAACAGTGCTAATTAACATCTGTTTGTTTGGTCCCAATTAATGGGCCACAAAAAGGCTTATTATTGAGGTGTCACCCAAGAAGACGTATGGAGAAGCCTCTGACAATGGGTGAAAGCAAAGAATGTTTAATAAAGTGAACATACAGTTAATGGTTGTTAGCATCAAGCACTTGTACTCATAAGAACAAGTCGATACTCCAAACCAATACCACGATTCTGCTGGACTTTCCTATTAGACTGCACTGCAACTCAAAGGCTAAACCACCCTTCATACCAAGAGGTTCTAACATACCAATAAGTTATTTGTTGCGCCCAGCAGTGAAAGTAGGCGGGTACAGTTGGGTACTGCAACCCTAAAAGATTTAGCGGGGGTACGCAGTACCAGCAAGAGAGGGGAGCAGCTGTCTGCTGTAAAACATCAATGTTCACTGTGCAGCTGTGAGTGCACCCACTAATCAGCCGTGACTGATTAGTTTTTCAAGAGCAATCTAAACCACGACTTAATCAGTAAATAAATAGCTTTTTTCCCATTTCATATTGTTTCTGAACTGTTCGTGCTTTACTCGAGCAGGGGTGCAAGTAGTTCTTTTTTTTAAGGTTTTGTTGGCTCTAGTGGCCTTTATTTGAAAGTAGTTTGACGGGAAACAGGGTAATCAGACAGAGGGAAGACATGCAGAAAATGTCGCCAGGCCAGGAATTGAACCTGCGACCACCGCCACAAGGACTAAGGCCTCAACACATGGGTCATGCTTTGCCCCTCTGCCTGCTTCGCCCACCACAGGGGCCACCACAAACCCTGCGCCACCTCTTATAAGAACTGTTTTTAACAAGTCTTGAAAATACCACTTCCTGTTAGTCTCAGCAGTCTGACAGTCTTTCTTATGCCTCATCTGCAGGACATTTTGAGAACTTTCCGTCACACACTGCATTTTAGGATTGCCACATAATGAAAATATGATTTCACAATATCTACAGTGAGCTTTATTGTAAATAACTGTGCCCTAAGTTATGGGCATCCAGAAAATAACCCTGTCATTTTCCGGATGACAGGGTTAGGCCTGTCATCCAGAAAATAAATTTTGCTATGCGATAAATTGTTCTTGAAGTTATTGGGATAAACGATAATATTATTGTTTTGAGTCTATTTTCAAGTAATGTAATGGTAATGGCATAATAATGAAAGTAGACCCACTCAAAGATTAATAATCTTTAATTTCTAACAAACCTTTAACACTTGAACTGGAAGACATTTTAAATATCCAAAATAAATAAAGAAAACAAACCGAAATAAAAAATAAAATGAATCACGAAGTCTCTGTAAGGAAGACTGACCTTGAAAAACATGGTCTACTATGACAAAAGTAGTATATATATATATATATCTATATCTATATATATCTATATATATCTATATCTATCTATCTATCTATATATATATATATATATATATATATATATATATATATATA